TGTAAATTAACTAATATTCGAAACCAAAACTTTTTTACACTATGCCATAAATGGGGTTGATAAAGCGAAAGTTTACGGAGCTACTGTGACCAAACCATGAACTAGCACAGAGTGAATCCTCTATTAATAGCCTTTCCAACGGTGTGCGGGTTGTATTAAGTTTTGCCCTAAGAATTTTTTTATGGGACTTTGAAAATTTCCACACTTAACATAATGCGGGCTAACATATAAGCAAACTTTGAAATGTCGCTGTGGGCAAACCATGCCCTTTGAAAAAATGAAACTAGGATAGAATGAATCCTCTATTAATGGCCTTTCCAACGGTGTGCAGGTTATATTAAGTTTTGCCCAAAGAGCTTCTTTATGGGACTTTGAAAATTTCCACACTTAACATAATGCGGACTATTATGAAAGTAAAATAAAAGTATCACGAGTATATAATATATATCATTACTAAATTTTATTATATATATTAGCATATGACATATATTAAGTATGTAAGAAATATAACAAATCCATTTTATTATAAAAGATATATTAAGAAAAAAGTATACAACTATAAAATAAAAAACTATAAAAAAAAAATACAAAAGTATCATGAAGGTAAGTAAATGAATAATGAGAGGACGTTTTAATTAACTGTTGCATATTATTATTTTTTATTACTATTATTTTAATTTTAGACTAATGAATTGAATTCTTAGACTAAAAAAAAAGACATTGAGCACTAGCAACACAGGCTATCGGCATAAAATGCAAAAGTCATTCCATTCCTCGTAGTGATGTAAGCCATTGTAAGCAAACAATTCGATAACATTTGCTACACTGTTTTTCTATTTCATTAATTTTATAACAGTGAAGACAGTTGTAAGTTAGATCCTCACTATATTGTAAAATTTTTAGCTTCATCTGTTTTCTATAATCAGACGGACGTGTTAAGTGTACTAAGGGCTCTTTTTTTGCAATTCTTTCCAAAAACTGGCAAACGAAAACACCGCAATTCGTATTATCTTTGTTTATATATTGCAAATCATGCACTTCTGTTTTCGCAGTCCATACATCACTATTATTGTGTATGGCTGTAAACTTTTGGAATAATTGTGACAGAATTGCTTCTTCGTTTCCAATGGGATCAACGTAAGTGAACGTGTTGGAAGCGTTATTTATATAGACGAACGTGAAATGTCTATTGTGAAGGATGGGCACGATAATTATTTTGTAATGAAACAAATACTTCTTTTAACTTTTCGTTGATGTGAATACTATCTCCGAAAAATAGCAAATCTCCTTCTTGGCAGCTCAAACAGTATATATTATTGATTTGTTGTTCGTATATAACAATGTGTACGTATAACTCCAATACATTGTTATATTCCATGTACATTAAAAAGGGTGTAGTACTATGGGAGTATATTTTCTCAAAGATATAGTGATATTTCCCTACAATTATTTTTTTGGACTTAACGGACCTAGTTATTTTAGAGAAGCAATCATCTGTCACATACCGTTTAAAAAGTTTCTGCGATAACATAATTTGTGCATGTTTTGTATTTTTGTGCTTCTTGGGAGTATGCCTCCACTTTACTTCAACTAGCACATCTTTATTTTTCGGTTGTGTTCCGTAATAAACTTTTCTTTCAACATATTGGGACTTTATTTCCTGGGTTTTCGCTGTTATGTTCTTATACGATTCCCTCACGGTGGGTCTTATGTTTCTTTGACCATCTAAGTTTATGTTTTTAACAATGGAAAATAGCCTTCCACTGGACTATTTGAAGCAGGCTTGTCACTATCTATATGTACACCCATTGTATTGGTCCATAAAGGAGCGTAAGCTATATATTTTTTTAATAGCAAATCTACGAATTTTGAGTTATAAAACCGGTTGGTTTTAATTTTTCGTAATCGACTATCATCTATTTTGCTTTTTATATGGGTGTACATTAACCTGTCTTTCTTTTAAAAATGGCTTTTGGAAAATAGTGATTGTTTCACTTCAAAATTATTACAGGTGCTTTTATTGATGTTATAAGATTTGTCTATATCTTCATCACAGTCCAATGGAAGGTTTTTTCGCAAAAAACTTAGATGGCGTTCTGTCAACTTATTTTCGTATTTACTGGAGAGTATCGGTAAAAAGTTCCCAATCCATCGAAAGAATTGTTTTATTCCGGAACAATGCATTGCGGTTAGCATTTGCCATTTTATAAATTTATCTACGGACTGATCAAAGAAATTTTCTACATCTTTGTGCACCAATTTTATGATATGATTTGTGCACAACTGTATTATAACAAAGGGCGGATATTGTTTGGAACTCTTTAAATGAGTGTAGCAAGCGTTAACGTATGTTGTTATGCTAATATAACCTGCACACCATTGGAAAGGCTATTAATAGAGGAATCATTCTATCCTAGTTTCATTTTTTCAAAGGGCATGGTTTGCCCACAGTGGTCTTTTAAAATTTGCTTATATGTTAGCCTATGGAAATTTTCAAAGTCCCATAAAAAAATTCTTTGGGCAAAACTTAATACAACCCGCACACCGTTGGAAAGCCTATTAATAGAGGATTAACTCTGTGCTAATTTCATTTTTTCAAGGGACATGGTTTGATCACAGTAGCTCCGTAAACTTTCGCTTTATCAACCTCATTTATGGCATAGTGTAAAAAAGTTTTGGTTTAGAATATTAGTTAATTTACATAAAGTCACGTTTTGTTTATAAGAATTTGCAAAAAAATTTGCGAAAAGTTCTATTTTACTTGTATTTTGAGCTAAATCCCTCCGAGACTTCGTTTAACAGAATTCTGTTAACGGCTTTACAGAGCTCTGTAAACAATTTTAGTTTGTGTCATTGCTAGTTATACTTAAATATAACTTCACACCCATATCGTTATTATAATTAATTTCTCATAAATGTCTCTTTTTCGGTGGAGATGATTGACTACTAAAAGATAAACTCATGCCATGTTACTAAGAATAAATTAGCTCAAGTGAAATTATCAAGGTTTTGCGTTCTCGACGTTCGCGACTTTCTTGTGAAAGAGCTCTGATATGCCGGCGAGTTCGTGATCGGCTGGCGTAAGCTCTATTATGCTTATCTGTATGAATACATCATCCACACATATAACAATTTTTAATCTTTTTTATCCGCTGCATCGCTTATGGCTAAAGTATATTAATTTTTTTTGAGGATGTAAGCAGCAATAACCAGAACAACTTACGATTATTATTATTATAATTAATTGTGTGGGCAATCTGTATTGCGACCTAGAAGATCTATTGTATTCGCCCGTGCTCCTAGCCTTCCAGTTTTGGAATTCTTATGAATGCCGCCAACTTATTTGTTTCAGAGCACCATACCACACCGCGGCCGGCCTTACGAAAAAGCTCGCCAAACAAACCGTGCCTGATTCTTGTAGACGGCCTCACATCCACTTAGAATATAATGGGAAGTCTTACTCGTCCCTTTGCAGAATCTGCATGAATCACTATCGGGCATGCCTGCTTTTTCTTGTTTCTACTTTTTTTTCTTGTTTTTAACCCTCAGCTCGATCTTTTTGAGGTACTTTGATGAAATTTGTTGAAAATGATTCGACTTGGACCACTTTTTCGATCATTTGCTGTACAACAAGTTATTTGCAAAAGCTGTTATGTGAAGCATTGTATTAAGGGAAGTGATGTATATGATGTTTGCGTTCGTGGATGGATAGGACTGATTTTTAAACCCGACCTGTTGCTGTCAACTAAAATCATTCCATTTTAGGTGTCATCAACGTTAGCATTGTAACAGCAGACAGCGGACAGGCGGACAAACGGACGGTCATAGTTAAATAGCTTAAGAATTTTGCAATGATCATGATACAATAAGTAAACTTCCTTCATAGGCTTTCGCATGCATATTTCTTTCTTCCTACCAAATTCCATGCATTCATTATACAAAGCGGTGGGTTCAAGAAGAAATAAATATTAAAAGTTAATAACAAAAAATGTCTAGTCTGACGGTAAGACAAATACAGTATGTATGTATATATAGCTCTAATAGTTTTGTAATGAGTATAAAGAAGATATTTTTTTGAACAATAGTTTCACTTCGTTTCTATGGTATCTCATATGTATGCAAAGTGTTTCATATTACGTCTACTTGCATCATCTAAGTATAATGAAAGAGCAGACATAAGAAAAAAAAATTAAAAAAAATACAAAAAAAAAAAATAGTAACAGTAACATGTGTCAGTTTATTGGTTGAATCTGTGACTGAAATTGACAAATTGTTATTGTTGCTCTTTTATAATAATAACAATGCAATCAAGAAAGGTGTGGGAGTATTTAGGTTAAATAACAACACCAGTCAAGCAACAGGTAATTATGAAAAAATTTATGCAAAAATGAAATAATAATTATATGGAATAGTAAGAGAAGTTAAATTTTGTAGTATTTTTTAAATATTTCTAAAATATATATATATATATACGTATATATACGTATATATATATATATATATATATATATATATATATATATAAATATATTTTTATCTTTAATTCCTTTTGCTTAACATTGACGATATCCTGGGTCCACTGATTGATGATTGCTTGACGAGTGTATCTATGTATAATATATAAATGCTATGCGTACCTACGTAAATATGTTTTATGCATATTCTACTATGCATACATACATATATCATATTTGAATGCATAATAAAGTGTATGCGTGAGTGTTAATGCATTAGCAAATAAATAAAGACAAAAATAACAAAGAAGTGAATTATGAAGAGGCGTTTGTGACGACGACAACGACAACGACAA